TGAACAAAAACAATTTCTAAAACTAGGTCTTCTAAACATTAGATCGCTCACACCTAAGGCGGTTATTGTAAATGAAATGGTCACAGATAATAGCTTCGATGTACTTTGCCTTACTGAAACCTGGCTTAAACCAAATGAGTATTTCGGTCTAAATGAGTCTACTCCGCCAGGATACTGTTATAAGCATGAGCCCCGTCTGATCGGTCGTGGCGGCGGTGTTGCAACAATCTATAGAGATATTCATAATGTTACTCAGAAAACAGGTCACAGGTTTAATTCGTTTGAAGTACTTGTGCTAAATGTTACGCTCTTAGATGTAAGAAAGAAATCCCTATTATCTCTAGCCCTGGCTACTGTATATAGACCGCCAGGGCCCTACACTGATTTCCTAAAAGAGTTTGCAGACTTTCTCTCAGATCTATTGGTCAATGCTGATAAAGCAATAATTGTTGGAGATTTTAACATACACGTAGATAACACAAATGATGCGTTAGGGGCTGCGTTTACAGATTTATTAAACTCCTTTGGGGTCAGACAAAAACGTCAGTGGTCCCACTCATCGTCTAAATCATACACTAGATTTAATCATATCATACGGAACCAATCCAACCGATATAGATATTATACCGCAAAGTGACGATCTCACTGATCATTGCATGGTAACTTGTATAATACGTACTGCTGAAATTTGTCATGTTGCGCCGCGTTATAGACCAGGCAGAACAATCCTTCCAACCACTATAGATAGATTCTCAAATAGCTTACCTGATCTATCTCAGCTGCTCAGAGAACCCAAACAAACAGATGAACTAGAGGAAATGACCAGCAGTTTGAGCACCATTTTCTCTAGTACATTAGATATTGTTGCACCAATTAGATTAAAAAAGGTTAGAGAGAAAACTAAAGCACCATGGTACAATAGTACTACACATGCTATCAAGAGAGAAACTCGTAACTTAGAGCGTAAATGGAAACAAACTAATTTAGAGGTCTTTAGAATCGCGTGGAAAGACAGTGTGTCACGTTATAAAAAGGCTCTAAAAGCAGCCAGGGCTGAGCATCTCTGCAAACTAATAGAAAATAACAAAAATAATCCAAGGTTTTTATTTAACACCGTGGCTAGACTAACAAATAAACAGACATCGCCAGAGCAAAATATTCCGTTACAGTATAGTTGTAATGATTTTATGAATTACTTCAATGAGAAAATAGAAAGCATCCGAAATACAATTGTAAATGTACAATCCTCTATGGTGTCTTGTGATTCAGCCTCAATTATCGCCCCTCAAGAACAACTACACCGCTTTACAACTGTAGGACAGGAAGAGCTAAATAAACTTATCATTGCATCTAAACCAACAACATGTTTATTAGATCCAATTCCCACTAAACTACTGAAAGAAGTGTTACCTGTAGTGGAAGAGCCTCTTCTCAATATTATTAACTCGTCTTTATTCTTAGGTCATGTTCCAAAAATATTCAAGCTGGCAGTTATAAAACCTCTTATTAAGAAACCGCAATTAGATCAAAATAACTTAGCAAATTACAGACCCATTTCAAATCTTCCATTTATGTCTAAAATACTAGAAAAAATTGTGTCCGCTCAATTGTGCTCTTTCTTGCAAGAAAATGAGATATATGAAAAATTTCAGTCAGGATTCAGACCGCATCATAGCACAGAAACTGCGCTAGTTAAAATTACAAATGATTTACTTTTAGCTTCTGACCAAGGCTGTATCTCAATACTAGTTCTACTCGATCTTAGCGCTGCGTTCGACACTATAGATCACAAAATACTCTTGGATCGACTACAAAACTACACTGGTGTTCAGGGACAGGCATTAAGCTGGTTCAGATCGTACTTATCGGACCGTTACCATTTTGTCTGTTTACAGTTTTTTTCAATTGCTTACACACTAAAATTAAAACTTTCCCACTATTAGCAAAACCTTACACTCAAGGAGCAAAACACCAGTCTAGATTTGCACAATTGTAAGCACGTTGTCAGCTTCACCCTTTTTGCAAAACATTACACACAGTGATTTGTAAAACTCTACACACATTTTCACACCTTAGACACAGATAAGGATTGTGAGGTTACTTCCTTGTCATTACAAAGCCCCGGTTTGCCATTGACCACACTAATGAATGAATTGGATATGCACATCCATCAGGCGTGGAAGCACACATGTGCTAATTTGAAAACGCAGCACTCAGGTGTGCTATAAAAGGCAGCAGGTGAGTTCACCTGTCTTCAACAAAAATGGAAGGAGCTAGACGAAGAAGAAGAAGAAGAAGAGTGAGAATAAAAGGGGGAGCTGAAAGAGGAGATGAAGGAGGTAGAGGAAGAGGAGAAGGAGGTAGAGGAAGAGGTGAACGAGGTAGAGGAGGAGGAGAAGGAGGTAGAGGAAGAGGTGAAGGAGGTAGAGGAAGAGGTGAAGGAGGTAGAGGAAGAGGTGAAGGAGGTAGAGGAGGAGGAGAAGGAGGTAGAGGTGAAGGAGGTAGAGGAGGAGGCCCAGGTAGAGGAAGAGGAGAAGAAGGGGATAGAGGAAGAGGCCTAGGTAGAGGAAGAGGTAGAGAAGGACTTGTAGAGTTGATAGAACCTGAACAAAGAAGACGAGGACCAAATTTGACTCAAGAAATCCGTGCAACACTTATTGACCATGTTATCAACCATGGACTGACAACGATGGAAGCTGGACAAAGAGTTCAACCAAATCTCTGGTTGATACTGTAACTGAATAGTTACAGTATTCTTGTTGCTTTTACAGTAGTTTTTCTCCAGAGTCAAACTGTATGTACTTCATGCAGTAATTTTTATTTGTCTACAGATTTTATTTTTTTCATTGATTTCATTGTTGGTTGATTACTGTAACTGATTATGGTTAGAAATACTGTAAATAAATACTTGAAATATGAGTCTGCAGAAATCAGTGTTGTGCAGTGCTTGGCAAGTTTATAGTAGGCCTATTAGTGTACATTCTCCCTATATCTCAAACTAATCATGAAGAATGTTGTTTGTTTGTCACAATTTTTTTTCATCTAAATTATCCCTTACATAACAATGTCTGGCCAAAAATCTAGCACATGCTATTTCCTAAAAATAGTTGTTTTACAAATGTGTTTTTTATTTATCACAGAAGTGTGAAACTGGTTGCAATAGTGTCTGATCATTGAGGACTGTGTTGGTTAAATGAAAACTAATAGCATTTTCACAAATATGTGTATATCTTTTGTCTGAAGTGTGTATGTTTTGACAGAAGTGTGTCATTTTGCAAACAATCTAGGAATTATGCCAATTGAGTGTGGTGTTTGGATAATTGTGATTACATTTTGAAAAAAAGAACCCGGTTTTCAAAATTGCGTGTAAACAATTGAAAAAAACTGTAAATGGGGAAAAATCGAAGATAACGTCAGTAGACTATGGAGTGCCGCAAGGATCGGTGTTAGGCCCTCTGCTATTCTCAATATACAGTATATGCTGCCACTTGGTAATATTATAAGAAAACATGGAATTAATTTCCACTGCTATGCTGATGACACTCAATTATATATTTCATCACGACCAGATGAAAACACTAACTTATCTAAATTGACAGAATGTCTTAAAGATATAAAATGCTGGATGACGTGTAATTTCCTGCTATTAAATCCAGATAAAACGGAGGTATTACTTATTGGTCCAAAAAACTACCCACAAAATCTCTTACAATACAACTTTAATTTAGAAGGATGTCCTGTTACCTTATCGACTACAGTAAAAGACCTGGGTGTTATGCTAGACCGCAACTTGTCTTTCGAAAATCATATTTCATATGTTACAAGAACTGCCTTCTTCCACCTTAGAAACATTGCTAAATTACGTAACATGCTATCTGTTTCTGATGCAGAAAAGTTAGTTCATGCATTCATGACCTCGAGACTAGATTACTGTAATGCTTTATTAGCTGGTTGTCCTGCATCCTCAATAAACAAGCTACAGTTAGTGCAAAATGCAGCCGCTAGAGTTCTTACTAGGTCAAGAAAATATGATCATATAACACCGATTCTATCATCTCTGCACTGGTTACCTATTAAGTTCCGTATCAATTACAAAGTACTACTACTGACCTATAAAGCCCTAAATGGTTTAGCTCCTGTGTATTTAATGGACCTTCTATCGCCCTACAATCCATCGCGTTCTTTAAGATCACTAAATTAGAGGCTTCTGGTCATTCCTAGGATATCTAAGTCCACTAAAGGAGGGAGGGCGTTCTCACATTTAGCTCCTAAACTCTGGAATAGCCTTCCTGATACTGTTCGTGGCTCAGACTCGCTCTCCCAGTTCAAAACTAGATTAAAGACGCATCTCTTTAGCCAAGCATTCACATAATGCTTACCTTCTATTGTTGAATCAGATCGAATGCACTAATATTATGAACAGCAGCTACGCTAATTATTTCCCATCTGCTTTTCTGCTGTTATCTCGGGACGCCAGTCCCGAGGTAAATAGCGTTCGTCAGCTCCAGTTTGTATCCAGACTCTCACGGAGACTTCAGATGCCCCAACACCTGCGATGAGACGACTCGACGCCTGTGAAGAGAAGACTCAACGCCGGCGATATGTTATGCCCTAAATTAGTACATGATGACTAACTAACTATATTCTTCTATGTACATTTCTGAAATGCACTTTCTGTAAAGCTGCTTTGAAACAATATGTATTGTGAAAAGCGCTATACAAATAAATTTGAATTGAATTGAATTAGCTACTACTCGCGGGCTTTCGTCTGTTGTCCAACAGCGAGTACCTCATGTGACGTCATGCAATGCATTGTGGGAGAAATTAGAATTCTCGCTAGGCTATTGGTAAATGCTAACACATCACTGACTTTTCCGTATTATATTTCTTTTTTGTAATCCCCTACAACATAAAATACAATGGATAACTGTTTAAATGTTTATTACCAACTAGAAAACTGGCAAAAAAAAAAAAAAAAAACCCTGCACCATGGCCTTTAATCTTTCCAGCAATTTGTTGTTTTTCTTTTCATTATAGTGATGAATTATGTTCCTCATTTAAAAGAGATGGGTCGATGGCAAAGACATGTTCAAAAAGTAGTTTTTTTTTTTTCATCTTTGCGAAGAGTTGCTCTGCAACCTGGCTATTCACTTTGCCAGCCAATTGAGGTACTAGAGTGAGCTTCCTCAACACATCTTTGCTGTCTTTTGTATTGGCTTCATGAAACCGATCATACAGCACATAGTGATCCGATGTACCCGTAACTGGGTGACCATTAAGGTCTGGCTCTGTCTTCTTAGTGTTCAGCCAAGGTAGCGACACTTTAAGCTGTCCACATTTGGCCAATTCGATGTTGGATTGAGTGGGTTCTGCCAAGCGACCCTCAAATGGATGAGATAGGTACCTCTTCTGATGCCCTTAAATTCAAGTGAGTTGCAAGACCCCGTGCAAAGTCATAAATTATGACATTTGGCATATGCTTCCAGGATAATAGTAAGTCTGCGAAGTCTCGAGGGCTCTCAGCTCGGAGATTGCATTTGATACTGTAAACAATCCCACATGGGCACATGATCACTGCCCAGCCTCCTAAAAAACAAGATATTAATCACATCTAATGAGTAAATCAAAGTATAAAATTTGTTTCTAACTAGACCTTAACTAGATTGCAATTAAAATATTATGTGCAAGACAACTTAAACTTACCAGAGGCCCCCCATATTTTGTCAAAGATTTTGTCATACGTTTGTCTGGATTTCATTTCATTTGACAACCTCTGAAGAAGATCACTGCGGGATCCATTGGAGTCCAAGCCACATTCTTTACATAACTTCCGAATGACCACAACCTAACAAAATATATAGTCTTGTTAAAAAGGTAATATTAAAAACACAACACAGTCGGGTGTTTTTGACTAACAAACCTTACCTTTTGTTTGTATATTTCTTCTCTGAGTCTGTCCTCTGTAACCGTAATTTCAGAAATTTCAGATACAGACTTTGAAACATGAATCTTTTCAAACTCTGTGTTTAGTACAGAGTCTGAACGCCGTGTGGCTTTCCCTATCCAAGGAGCCCAAAAATGGTATGTTGGTGATACCGCACATGAATTGTGTCTACCACCTAAAAACCACAAAAAAAACATTGTATTATGTTGCATTTTTACATGCTTTCCAATAGTGTACAAAGCACTGTGTTCATACTTGCAACAAATCCACGACCAATCATATCACAGGACATGGCCTCCCAAAACTATTCCAGGTTGACCTCCCCATCAAAATTCTCTGCAGGACTCTGGATGTCACTTACTAAAGAGTGAAAAAAATTGTGCATTATGACACACTAAGGTCACACTAAGAAAACCATTTAAGAAAAAAAAAATCCAATTACAATGAACATATAAAACATGTTAAGTAAGTCGCTTTGGATAAAAGTGTCTGCCAAATACATAAATGTTAATGTAAACACAATTAGCACGTGGAGTATCGCAATAGTCATACCTGATAAATGGAAAACACCTTTTTTGTGTAAATCCATGATCACCACAGGGGGATGATCACCACAAGTAATGCAGGAATACTTGTACTCATGATCAGTAAGGGCCTCAAAGTGCAAGTATGCATGAAGCACGGTGTCTGCTGGTGGAAATTTCAGACCTGTCAAATCTTGCAAAAACTCGACTGCTCTGCTCACAGCAGTATGGGCCTGAGAAAAAATATATAAAAAACATCTATGTACAAACTTGGAGACATTGAAAGGTGCTGTACTTACTGAACATTCTTACATTGAAGGTTACCTGTAGAAGGTTTCTTAAAGTTAAGCATTAAGTGTATGTCAAGGATGATGTGGTCGTTAAAGTTGTGGAGTTGGTCTTTCCACTCTTGGTAGCGATAAAACATTCCACACAGTGGGCACTGCTTACAGTAGGTTGATACTTCTATCATTCAAACAAAGTATTACATTAGAGGACAGTGTAATTTCATTGCACATATGCATATTTATAACACCATCCTACCTTCAACAATGCACCAGTTGGAGAGTATTTTAGCTCTCTTTGTTATTAAAATAGGGTCACTAAGGGGGACGACACCTGGGCATCTATGACACACAGTTTCTTCTGGACAAAGATATTTTTAGTAGTCTTTGCCTAGTGATGGTGCACGTATATTTTCTGGTAGGACAGCAGGTATCATCTTGTTCTGTAAAATGTACTGTACCATTTGTTTCAGTCCCAGATCATGTGGAGGATACAATGGATGGTCTTCTGTGACGTTGCTCTCCTCTGAATGTGTATGAGCCTTTTGGGGTGGGGATTCTTCTCTGCTGAAGACAGTACGGAAAAGCTCACGGTCTGTTTGAAATAGATGCCATTTCGCAATGTACTTATGCGGACATGAACGGCGCACTTTGGAACAGGGGCAGTGCCATGTGTTTAATTTGGTGTTGTAAACAACAATGACACGCCCCAACCGGCTATAATAGGACACATTTGGCTCAAAAACGGAGATGAACTTTTTTGTTTGAGGACTGCCAATTGAGGTTTCTACAGACAGTGGTATACTGCTAGAAACAGCAAGCTGCTGACGAGCAAGGCAAATGTTTTTCTTCTCATCACCAAACCACTTTGCTCTCACCATTTCCATTAAAACGTCTTCCTTTAGAGAGACTGCTTCAGCTGAGGATGTGCAGAAACTTACAGATCTGACATGCATACACTGATAGGATAACAGACCACTCCTCTGTGCTACTTCCATGTTTACTTGGCATTCGTTTGATTCGCAGCAGACTTTTTGTTGTTCTCCCCATGTTTTGTATTGGACATGCAGAGGACTACTCTGACCACTTGCAACTTTAAGCACTGTGAATATGCCATTTGTTTTGTCTACACACTGGCTTGCAAGGTGGAATCTGGCATTAATGTCCTGAATTGGTTGATTTGTGTGTTTATGGTCAATATGTTTTTTTATATTTTTTTTATTCATGAGGGTACTGCACATTGGGCATTTCTGTTTAATAACAGGCCGTGCACGAACCCTGCCTGGCACGTTAAATGCTGTTCTGGTCTCTGATGGGGTCTCAGTAGTCGCTGGCACGTTAAATGCTGTTCTGGTATCTGATGGGGTCTCAGTAGTCGCTGGCACGTTAAATGCTGTTCTGGTATCTGATGGGGTCTCAGTAGTCGCTGGCACGTTAAATGCTCTTCTGGTACCTGATGGGGTCTCAGTAGTCGCTGGCACGTTAAATACTGTTCTGGTATCTGATGGGGTCTCAGTAGTCGCTGGCACGTTAAATGCTGTTCTGGTACCTGATGGGGTCTCAGTAGTCGCTGGCACGTTAAATCCTGTTCTGGTACCTGATGGGGTCTCAGTAGTCGCTGGCACGTTAAATGCTGTTCTGGTATCTGATGGGGTCTCAGTAGTCGCTGGCACGTTAAATGCTGTTCTGGTATCTGATGGGGTCTCAGTAGTCGCTGGCACATTAAATGCTGTTCTGGTATCTGATGGGGTCTCAGTAGTCGCTGGCACGTTAAATGCTGTTCTGGTATCTGATGGGGTCTCAGTAGTCGTGGCACGTTAAATGCTGTTCTGGTATCTGATGGGGTCTCAGTAGTCGCTGGCACATTAAATGCTGTTCTGGTATCTGATGGGGTCTCAGTAGTCGCTGGCACATTAAATGATGTTTTATAAACAAAGTTCGGGAGGAGCACGTTCAAATAATCATTCCAATCAACTGGTCATCAAACAATTACCATGTCTACCCTATCAGCACGAGAAGGAGCATATAAATATTCACTCTGTCAACTCACCTAACATTCCTTGACAGTTTCAGCATCTGGTCCCGCCCATTTGTTACAATGTCTGAGATCGAACTCTTCCCGTCCGACGACGACTCCTTCGTCGCCCAGGCTCCATCACAGCTTCCCACCGCTGCAACGAGCTCCCACGCTCAACAGGACACCGCATCTGAACTTCCAGCATCACCGCGCGGCCGCCGGTCTAGCCGAGCCGCTTCCCATACTCCGAGGCGCCGGGGCTTGCCCTCACCTCCACCATCAAGACCTCCTCCACCATCTCCAGCTTCCTCCTACACCTCAGCACAACCCAATATTCCTGCAATTGAGAAGAGGACAGTGCTGGGGTTGAGACAAGCGCTAATCAGCGCTGATGTTAATTTTTCTAGGAGAATGAACAAAGCACAACTATACAACCTGTACGTTTCACTCCAGGCAGCTTTCCCTTCTCCAAAATCCACTCCACCTTCAAAATCCGCAAAAAAGGCAAGTAATTACAAGGCTCCAAACTCACGTTCCCAGAAATCACCTTCTCCCGCTCTTGCAGGGCCCAGTTTTCCGCGAGCGCCAGGCCGCAGCAGGCCTCCAGCTAGCCTGGGCCGCGCCCCAGATTCCACCGCCGTCAGGCCCCTCTCTTCTCTCCGCTCCGCTGAGCTACAGACCGCAGTCTTTTCCAGCACCGCACCTCACGTACCAATGCCAGTTCCAAGCGAAACGGGCCGCTCTTTCAGCGTGAGTATGCCAACGGCACAAGCCCAACTACCACATACTTTTCCTGTCACCTTTTCCAACCCTTTCCCCTGTCCATGGCCTGCAGCCCCACCACCAGACTCTAGCGTGAGGCTGCTTCAGCTAGAGGCGCAGGCCCAGGCACCTTTTCTACCTCCCCAGCTCCCCTCCTTTCCCACTTTTCCAGTTCTTCCTCAAGCTTTAGGGGCCGACCCAAGTGTGAGGTTGCCTCCACAAACGGCCTCGGCCCCAGGGGTTTTTCTTCCTAACACCTTTCCCCAAAATCGGTCTCCTTTCACGCTGTTCTCCGCAACACCGATGCCCATCCCGCCGAACGCTACAGCTATGGAACCGCCCCCTGTTGCCAGCAACATCAGAGCACACATCCTCACAGGTGCGGACATCGATTTATCTTCCCTTCTTTCTTTACTCCCCCCCTCTGTCTCAAATCGCCAAATCGACTGCGGCGATTTTGCAGTCACCCTCAAAAACCCAGTTAATAATTCATCCCGCATTCTGTCGTTTTCTGAATTTGCAATTGCTTTCAGCCGGTATAGCGAAATAATTTGTGCCGCACTCCCCCACAGGAGACGAGAGCTAAACGACTATCTCGCGATAATCGCAGAGCTCGCGTTATCATACGGAGGAACCCATTTTTATACTTACCACAAATTGTTCTCCGCAAAGTGCGCCGTCCGCGTAGCTCAGTGGAACCAGTGCCCTTACTGGGGCGCCCCAGACACAGAGCTACACAATAGAGTGTTCCTAGGCTGCCGTAACATTTCCTGCGCTGTTTGCAGATCCGTTTCGCACTCCACCACGGCGTGTCCCTTGATTAACCCTGCAAATCCTCCCCGCCCAGATTCACCAGCTGAAAAATCAACCAGTTATGTCCCGCGGCCAGCAAACATTAATTTCAACGACTCAGCCACAGATTCTAAAAGAAGAAAAACCTCCTTCCCATCCAACAACCAAGTCTGCAATAACTTCAATTCAGGACGTTGCTCACGGCAACGCTGCCGTTATTTACACATCTGCAGCTATTGCGGTGGCGCGCACGCTCGCACTATATGCCCTGTAAAAAGGTCCGTAAATAAAGATTCCAAAAATTACTTGTCGACTCCTGTGAATTTTTCTCGTCTGTCTTCTGAATTAGCTCACCACCCTAACACTAACTTTACTGACTATTTACTGTCTGGTCTCGAACACGGCTTCAAACCCGGCGTTGAAAGCCTTCCCACTCAAAGTATCATATGTGACAATCTCCAGTCTGCTCTCGCTGAACCTGAAACAGTCGACATCCTGATTAAAAAAGAAATCGAATCAGGCTTCATGATTGGTCCGTTTAACATTCCTCCTTTCGAATGTTTCCGCGTCAGCCCCATTGGAGTGGCCACAAGAAAATTTTCCGGCAAAAAACGTTTAATAATCGATCTCTCAGCCCCGCATAATTCTCCGTTTCCAAGCATAAAAAGCCTTATCTCGCTTGAACAATTTTCTCTTCATTACCACACCATTGACCAAGCCATAACCTTGATTAAAGACGCAGGCTACGGCGCTTGTCTCGCTAAAGTCGACATCACTTCTGCTTTTAAAGTGATGCCCATTCATCCAGATTCATGGCATTTGTTCGGCGTACGCTGGCAAGAGAAATTTTACTTTGCCGTCCGTTTAACTTTCGGCTGCAAAAGCAGCCCTAAGATTTTCGACATGCTATCAGAAGCCATTTGCTGGATTCTTTCCAATAACTACTCGATACCCTACTTAATCCACCTGCTAGATGATTTCCTAATTATCTCACCACCCGACACCATCCCAGCCGCGCATCTTCTCACAGTCCAAAAAGTCTTCGCTGAGCTCGGGATTCCAATCGCCCAAGAAAAAACCATGGGCCCATCCACATCCATCGAATTTCTGGGCATTAGTTTGGACACAGTCAATTTCCAGGCCTCACTGCCCAAGGAAAAAATCAACAGGATTATTCTGGTCGCATCCACCCTCCTAGAAAATCCAAATTGCTCTAAACGAGAGCTACTATCTCTGCTCGGCCACTTAAACTTTGTGATGCGCATCATCCCGCAAGGCCGCCCTTTCATCTCACATCTTCTCTTCCTCGCATCATCAATCCACGCGCTAGAGGACCAAATTTCCCTAACTACGTCATGTTGCAACGAGCTCAGTTTATGGATAACCTTCCTTAAACAATGGAACGGCCTGTCTTTTTTCTATAACAATCTGATTTCTCTCCCCGTGGATATCCAACTGTTCACTGATGCTGCTCCCTCTGTCGGTTTCGGGGGATTCTACCAAGGCCGTTGGTTTGCTTCTACATGGCCCGCCCAGCTGTTAGACTCACCGCAATCACAATCATCCTCAGCGCTGTTCGAATTGTATCCTTTAGTAGTAGCAGCCTTCCTGTGGGGTAAAGAATGGTCAACTAACAGCATCATGGTACACTGCGATAATGAAGCAACCGTGCACTGCATCAACAAAGGCCGCTCAAATTCCCCCGCACTAATGCCTCTCCTAAGACGCCTCATTTGGATCGCAGCTTGCGATCAATTCATCTTAACTGCAAAACATGTTCCCGGGTCCAGAAATCAAATAGCTGACTCTCTCTCTCGTTTTGCTTTCCAGAAATTCAGGCTGCTGGCACCAGATGCGGACCCTTTTCCAACCCCAGTACCTCACTATTCAGAGCTGATATTCCCATAAACCACCCACTGAAACCACTTCTCGATGCCTCTCTTAATTCCATCCTTCAAGCCGTTTCACCCAGCACCCTCCAATCCTACTTAACCGCATGGAAGTGTTTTAAGTCTTTTCACTCAACATACAACCTGCCTTTTCCCAACTTTTCTCTGCTTACCATCACTTCATTCATATCCTATCTCAACAGCATCAAGAACCTCAAAGCCTGCTCTATCAAGGGTTATCTAAGCTGAATCCAATTCTTCCACAAACTCCTTTTTGGTTCACCTTCCTCAGACATAACAAATTCTCAGACATCAATGCTCATCAAAGGCATCCAAAAAACCCAACCCACCCGCCCTGATGCCAGACAACCAATAACTTTAGACATACTCGCTAAATGCATCTTCACCCTCCGCCGAGGCTATCACTCCACCAACACAGCCCGTACACTGGACGCAATGTTCATATTGGCTTTTTCGGTTTTCTCAGATGCTCAGAACTCACCATCACTTCCAGTTTTAACCCAAAAGTCCACCCCACAATCTCAGATCTATCAGTTCTAGACAACAAAACCATCTCTTACTTCATAAAGCAAAGCAAGACAGATCAAATGAAAAAAGGCCATTTCATATACATCTTCAATCTCCCATCACCAATCCAACCGTACCAATCTCTCTTAGCATACTTTTCAGGAACTCGCAGGCCAAGTCCCCTTCCGACCCACTCTTCACTGATGATTCCAATCGCCCCGTCACACGTTTCTGGTTCCAAAAACACCTCAAGTCCATTTGCTCCAATCAGACATCCCAGCAGACCACTTTTCCAGCCATTCATTCCGTATAGGCGCAGCAACCACAGCCGCC